CCATAGCTATTTTTTGTTTTCATTCTCATGAAATATTTTTTTCCATCCCTTTACTTTCAGTCTGTATGTGCCTTTCAATCTGAAGTGGGTCTCTTGTAGACAGCCTACATATGAGTCTTGTTTTCTTATCCATTCAGCCACCCTATTTCTTTTGACTGGGGCATGTTATTCCATTTATATTTAAAGTGATTATTGATAGTTGTATAGTTATTGCTATGTTATTTTTCATATGCATTTTCTTTTTTCCACCCTTCTTCTTCTTAAAGAAATACCTTTAACATTTCTTGTAATACTGGTTTGGTGATGATGAAGTCCTTTGACTATTTCTTGTTTGGGAAGCTCTTTATCTGTCCTTTATTTCTAAATGATAACCTGGCTGGGTAGAGTAGTCTTGGTTTTAGGTCCTAGCTTTTCATCACTTTGACTATTGCCTGACTATCCCTTCTGGCCTGCAAAGTGTCTGTTGAAAACTCCGACACTTTTTATTACTTACAAAGGAGCTCCCTGATAATCTTATGGGAGCTCCTTTGTAAGTAACTAGCTGCCTTTGTCTTGCTGCTTTTCGGATTCTCTCTTTGTCTTTAACCTTTGCCATTTTAATTATGGTGTCTCTTGATGTGGCCCTTTATGGTTCATCTTGTTAGGGACTCTGCACTTCCTGGGCTTATATGTCTGTTTCCTTCTACAGGTTAGGGAAGTTTTCCGTCATTTCTTCAAATATTCATAGTTTCTCAATTTCTTGCTCTCCCTCTTCTCCTTCTGGCACCCCTAGGATGTGAAATTTGTTCCACTTAATGTTGTCTCAGATGCCCTGTAAACTATTTTCATTATGTTTTTATTCTTTTTGCTGTCCCAATTAGGTGTTTTCTGTCACCTTGTCTTACATGCATACTATTTCTTAGCTAAATATTTTAGTATTATAGAAAAAGCAGTTCCCTGGGAAAAATAGTTAAATTTATACTGACAAACTTGCTAATCATTTTGTAATATAGATTTCTGTTTTAATTCAGTAATCCTAAAACTGTAGGGATATTAAATGCATTGAAGTTTTAGTCAATTTCAGATTGCCTTTCCTTTGCAGTCGTTAATAACTTGAAATCATTTGTCTTTGCTTAAGATGAGTTTTTAGTTTCAGTTTAAATTGAACTACATCATCTTCTATGTACCTTAGAAAAATCCCACAATTATGCATGAGATTTCCATTTGCCCGTCACATTTACTAATGTGATTCTCTCTCTTCTCATCTCTCTCTCTCCCTCCCTCCCTCCCTCCTCCCCTCATAGATTTCTCCTGAGCTTCTTCCAGAGGCGCTTACTGTGGGTTCCAAGCTAATTAGCTCCATCTGAGAGCTCTGTATAGATATGTGGCATCCATTGGCCTTGAAGCAGTATTGTTGACCACATGGTCAGCATCTGAAGTGCCATTGTAATAACCCTCTATCTGAAAACCTGAACTTGAAAGTCAATTTGATTAGGCGTGGTTCCTCCCCATGATGGGAGGGAAGTGCCTTTCTTCTAAGAGTTGCCCTGAGTACCACTATTACCCAAGCTATGGCCCATATCAATTTAATCTGCAGAATTTTGGATCAATCATGTAGCTTCCTAGTTTCATATGCAGAACAAATCTCTCCTTTCTTTGAATAAGTGGCTCCATTGCACTTATTCGTTTCTCTGTGGTGACCCTCTCAATACATCACTAGATTAGCCTTGGTAAATTATGTTCTTTCTAGCTGCAGTATACACAGTGGGAATGAGGTAACTTTATTCTCAAGACCACACAGATATCTCCTAAGAGGCTTTTTTGGAGGGATGGGGAAAAAGGAGATTTCTGTCAGCCTGTGACAGGGTGGGGCACTTGGATTGAATGTGTATCTTCTATCTACCAGCCTCAGTATTAAAGTTTATTTAGCCCTCTGGGGCCATGCATCTTGAAAATTCACCGTTGTTAAGTTTCTTCCTGGCTGTTATTATATATCAAGATTTATTTATGCCTAGGCATAAAGGATAAGCTGGTCAGCTGTATAATATACTTATTGTAGATAATCTCTTTTAAAAACCCAACAGCTCAATGTATTTCCTTACACGCCCACTGCAAGGGTATAAATAACTATAATGCTAACTGAGCAAATGACATTATATTCTGATCTATCTGTAAAATGGAAAGACTTGTTTTTCATTTTCCCTTGTATCTTAGGATAAATCCCAGCACACACAGACTTTCAGTGGTATTAATGACTATTTAAATTAGCTAGGTTTTGATTAATAGATGAGAAATAATCATTTCTATAAATAAAATATGGAATGAATTGTTTTACCCTACATTAAATAATTGGTCATTTTAACTCTCCTCTTCCAGTTTTGTGAAGCTTTCCTACCCCTGTGTATGCTCTGCTCTGTGATGCTTCATTTTGCTTTCTCCTAGTCCTCTCCACCCCAGATGGATATCCACTCCATTGACATTGGATCAGTTAATGATCTCCCTTTGGTTCTCACTCCTGGGGCCCCTTTGTGCATATGTGTACTTGTTGATTGTACAGTGTTCACCATCAACTCCACCTTCTCTCTCTCTGGTCTCCACATCGAATCCATCCCTGGACCCATTGTTTCTCTAACATAGGTCCCATTAATATTCCCTTCCCCTCTGTATCCTGTTCCTTTCCCTGGTCCAGGCCCTCATTCCTGCTTTCTCAGATAATAACTGCATTTGCCCTATTGACTGGTTTCTCTGTCCTATCCTCGAGGACATAGTCCAGGTCTCGCCCATGGCATTCCAAGCACTGGCCCTTCTCTTCCCCATACCCTTTCCTCACTGTACCCTTCCCATGACTGCAGCTTCTGACCCTCAGTGCCTAGTCCAGGTTTCAGAGCCTCGCACACTGCTGATGCTATCTGAGGTGCCCTTCCTACATTTGTATTCCTGGTAAACACCTCTTAGTTCTTTCAAGCCCATCAAAGTTGGTAGCTTCCTCCTAGCCTCATACTAAATTAGTAAATTACTCCCTTCTCTCTTTTGCCTACATTCTTAATCATATGTCTGTTGTGGCATGTAATTACTATATTATGCATGTGGATGTACAACATGTTCCCTTATTAGATTGTGAACTCCTTGAGACCAGGGCATTCTCTATCACCCTTGTAATTCCAGAGCCTAGTAGAGAATTTGACACAAGTATGTGCTTAATAAACATTTTTTTGGATTGATTCAGTTGTAAGTGTTCTCTCTATTCGTGAATAGGTTCCTAACAGAGTATTAAAAGGCTAGGTTTTGGGTATCTCTCTAGTCTGTTATTATCTGACTCGATTAAGAGTGCAGTATTAATGAGGCCAAGGTCTTAAGTTCCATGCCTCCGTGGAACAGTCAACATTGGACCTGAACTGACAGTGACCTCAGTTAGCTGCCGAGGAAATACCTTTGTTTGCAAGGGGAATGCATAGTGAGAATGATTCAGGTAAGGGCAAATTCATCTCAACTATTAGACAAATTGAATTAAATGTTTCCCTTATTGATGCTAAAAGTACAATTCTACACTGAAAGTGAAATGTTTTGTCCCCAGCACCTGTCCATGTGCACTGATGCATTTGACTTGAAAGGTTCTGCTGCATTGGAGGCGGCATAAGTACCACCTTGTCATGGCTGTGTTGCAGTAAGAGCAGTAATCATCCTGCACAGGTGGTTAGGGCTGCCAGCCTCTGAGCGGCCTGTCTACTCACACTCCTCCCGGTGTTTGTCTTCCAGGTGAGACCATGCGCATCGCCTCCTCGGAGTTTGCTGACGACCCGTGCTCATCCGTGAAGCGTGGCACGATGGTGCGGGCGGCCAGGGCGTTGCTCTCGGCTGTGACGCGCTTACTCATCCTGGCCGACATGGCGGACGTCATGAGACTTTTATCGCATCTGAAAATTGTACGTATGTAGAACTTAACAAAACGTGTTTTATGTGGGTGGCGACACTGACCATATGTAACGTGGCTGAACTGTACCCAAGGCACTTTACTGCTTACCAGATCACTTGGGCACTCACTCGTGTGGCACAGCCCCCAATGTTTCTAATATGAAAATTATCGTCAATAATGTACTCAAAAGGTTATAAAAAAATCCACTGGAATTGTTTTCTTTCTTTCAAAACACAGAGTTTGGACATCACCTTTTTTCCTGGCATACACAGCTGTATCCTTTTAGGCCGCAGAGGCTGAGCCAGGCTCACCTGCTGTGGCCCTGTCTTGAGATTCAGAGAAGTGCTGGTCCATGTGGTCATGCAGAGTAGGCCAGTTCCACTGGGTATCAGGACAAATGGCCCCCTGTGCCCATCTTAATATGGATCACAGGTTGAATGTATTTTGTTACTTTCCCCCAGCCTTGTCCTGTTTTAGATATATGGACTTTGAGCCCATCTTAATCTGGAAATAAAAAGGAGCCCCATCACACCTTCCATGGCTAGAATCAATCTGGTCACACTACACCTGTCATCTGTCATACCTGGATTGGGTCTCAGGGGACATAGGTGCCCCACCAACCTATAGAACTCCATTATATGGGCCTTGCTTGTCACGGTTCCTTGATCCCTTTTCATTCTTTGGTTTCCTAATGGAAGTAGAGCCCTACCCTGTTCACAAGTTTTACTGGACCAGGGGCCAAGGAAACCTTCCCAGCGCTTGCCAGCTCAGCCCTTCTCAGCTTTCCTAGTTGCTGACCGGTATCTATTGATAGTTGCAACCAGGATGGTTCAATCGTTTGAACTAAGATGATTACCTTAATTGCTTTAGAATATGGTTTCTGCCTAGAGAGTCTCTGTTGAGTGCCCTCAGTAGATTTATTCCTGGACAATTGGCACNATATGATCATATGATTTTTATCTTTTATTCTGTTTATGTGGTGCTTCCCTTAATTGATTTGTGGATATTGAGTCAACCTTGCATCCTAGGAATAAATCCTGCTTGACCATGGTGTATGAGCATTTTAGTGTATTGCTGAATTCAGTTTGCTAATCTTTTGTTAAGGATTGTTGCATCTATGTGCATCAAGGGTATCAGCCTATCACTATCTGTTTTTTTTGGTGTCCTTGTCTGGTTTCGGATACAGGGTAATGGTGGCCTCGTAAAATGAGCTTGGACGCCTTCCTTCCTCTTGAATTATTTTGGAATGGTTTGAGAAGGACAGGTGCTAATTTTCATTGAATGCTTGGTACAATTCACCTGTGAAGCTATGTGGTCCATTATTTTTGTTTATTGGGAGCTTTTTTGATTATTGATTCAATTTCATTTGTAGTAATCGGTCTGTTCAGATTTTCTGCTTCTTCTGATTCAGTCTTGGAAGATTGTATGTTTCTAAGAACTTATACACTTCTTCCAGATTGTCCAGTTTGTTGGCATTTAAATATTCATAGTATTTTCTTGTAATTCTTTCTGTTTTTGTGGTGTCATTTATTACTTCTCTTTCATTTCTGGTTTTATTTATTTGGGTATTCTCTGTTTTTTCTTGATAAGTTTGGTTAAAGGTTTATCAATTTTGTTTATCTTTTCAAAGAACCAGTTTTTGGATTCATTGATCTTTCGTATAGTTTCTTTCTTTCTTATTCTTTTCTTTTTTTGACTGTGTTGTTTATTTCTGCTTTGAGATTTTTATTGTTTCTTGAGGTAGGCCTGTATTGCTATAATTTTCCTTTTAGGACTTCTTTGCTGTGTCTCATTGATTTGGGGTCATTGTGTTTTCATTTTCATTTGTCTCAAGGCATCTTTAGATTTCTTCCTTGATCTCATTGCTGACTCATTCATCGTTTAGTAGCATGTTATTTAGCCTCCATGTGTTTA